AGCTCTGAATTTCAGCAATAGGAATGGAAAGAGAAGAGCTGAGAATGGATTGAAAGACAGCAGGGAGGAAGCACTGCTTTCACCAGGAGAACAAATGAACTCAGCTTGGGCATTTCTCCGCCACCATTACGCCCCAGCCTCTCCCCTCCTGGAAGCCTCAACAGAACAACACCGGGGTTTGCAAAGTGTCCATTACTTTTAAGTTACATAAGGGAAGACAGCTACTCTTCCCCCATTTAAGTATAAAAACCACAAAGGCCTTTACACCTCTCAGATCTCAGCAGAGCATCAGTTACAAACGTGCTTTGCCGACTTCAGATAGTGTTTGTAGTGAGGTAAAATTCAAGTTTATCCTGAATGACACCACAGAAAGGATGTGCCGTTGTATCCTGCGAAGTCATAGAAGGGAAGAAGAAGGTTCCTAAACCAAACAACAAAATAAGGACCAGGTCAGGCAAATGTTTTAGCAGGTGCTTCACGTACCCAGAACCAAGAATGTGTTAAAACAACAACAAAAGCCCTCCAAAACCTCCACCTCCTCTTATTAAATTAAAATTACCTACAATAGATGAATAAGTAATTGGAAAAATTTTAAATGGGCGTTTTGTTTGTAATGTCTAAAGGTAGACTGCTATGCTCAGATATTAGTTCCTAAGAAATATGTTTTTTAAAGCACCGACCTGAATTAGGAGTAGTTCTGTCAACTTCAAACCCTGATGTGGAGTAAGATCAGACTGAAATGTTTCAGACTTCCTGACTCATGAAGGTTCAGTGCATCTGTTATCATCACAGCAGTTGATAATACCATAATAAATATTGAAAAATCTGCTTATTAAATTTGCATACTGAATGTTTCCATCTCACATCACATATATGCCTTGGAAGTGTGTTTTTCAGAACAGACAAACTGCTGAAATTTCAGACTTCTTACAGGTTAAAACCTTTATATGAACAGGAAAGGAACAATGCCATAGAGATGCAGCGCGAGACTGAAATTTGGAAATTCTCCGTCAAGTCTCTGCTGTAAGAAAGACTCTTCATGCAACCTCGTGCTACTCTTGAGATTCTCTGCGCCTCAGTACTTTGTACCACTTTCTTCTTGTCAAAGATTTGTGACAAATGTTCAAGATTGCCCCTTGGCACTCTGACACTGAGCCATGTGAGAATTCCAACAAGTGGAAACAAATTTCTGAGTGATAAGAACCTTAAAAACAAGTACAAAATCCCTAACAGCAAATAAAGACTGTAAAAACTAGTAACATTTAATTAAAAAAAAAACTAACAGTAGATAACAGCAAAACTTTTGTTTCACACACAAGTTATCTGTTGAGTTAAAAGATACTGTCACTTGATTGGAGATTATAAAAAAATGGTATTTCACAGACTTTCTGCCAGCCTAGTTGGAAAATGACAATATAATCACAACCTAAACTTCCAGTAAACTTTTTAGAAAAAAAATCAAGAGTTCTAGATGAAGGAAATTATCACCTTCTGAGAAGTTGTGCGTATAGAAATCCTTTCCATGGTCCTAAAAAAATGCCATTGAATTGCATCCTGCAAATTGAACCTTCTAGCAGCTTAATCTGAAAGTGAGGCAGATAACCTTAATAAAAAAAAAAAAAAAAAATTATAGTCTGAGGTGGAACTTCAAAATTAGTTCATTTAATCATACCACAACACACAATTTTTATGAAGATGTAATTTGATTTCTGTATTCTCCTTGGTGTGGCATTCATCTGTGCAATGCTCTTGATACCAATTTCTAAAGCACCAGGCACACTCGGATACAAATATAGCCAAGAAAGGATTAGTTTCATATGTACAATCATGAAAGTGATCCAACTGGAAAGTTTGCTGCCTAACAATTCATAGCACAGATTGTGATGAAAAGGACTACTGTGCCTCATGTTAACTATATGACAAAGAATGTTAAACAGACTGGTGAGCAAACAAGGTAATACATTTCAAAATTATTTCTTCCACAGTTGGCACAGTGAACAAGATTCACCCCCATGCAATTTCACTAAAGACAACAGACTCAAATGTTATGAATATCTAAAACATCTAATCACATACAAACCTAGATCAACACTAAATTAACTTAGAGAAAAAAAAATGTAATTTAAATTTTAAAAAAGTCAATAAATTAACACAGACGAAAATAGAAATATTTGACACTAAAACTAAGCTACTGAGGCAACATTTAAACGTGTCTGTAAAAACACTGGATGCAACTTGAATGCATCAATTGGCTGCAACTCCTCTCCGACCTTATCTCTTGGAGACTTCCAGATTCTGATTTTCACCTCTCACGGAAATCATCTGAGCTGATGAAGACTTTGAGATGAGTAAGGCAACTGAACAAAAGCCTGGCTGTTAGGAATGTTATAACTGAACCTTAGCTGCAAAGCAACAACAGCTGCAAGCATGCATCTGCATCTGTAACAACCACTACACTTTAAGTACAATTCTAGGCTTATAGCTGAAGTAGCAACTGCTTCATCTCGAGTTAAATCTCTATGCCATTATTTAGACCCCTTACCACTTTTTAAAATCTTCCAGATTCTCAAAAACTAGCATACAATGCTCCTATTTAAACCCTCTGTTCATGCCACGAAAAAAAAGCAACAATCTTTACTCTCCAGCTTCCACTTCAACCTGAAACTGCCATTTTTAGGGTTTTAGGCCCTAGCAGATTCTTTTCTTCTATTAAATTTAATCAAATGCTATTTTAGTGATAGATTGCATCACTTCAAAGACTTGGAAATGTTAGATAAGGTGAAGAGTCAGAGAAAAGCTATTGGGATTTTACCTGAGAGGCTGTTCCAAAAATACCACACACACACACTTTGATATTAGTGACTAAAGCCCTTAAATTGTTCCCCAAAGCCCACCTTTGCCATAATACCCACAAAACACTTGAGAACAATTAGCCAGCTGATGTGCTGTGAACTTATTATACCATTTATAAATGACTCACTACACCCTTACGCTCCGCTCCCCCCACGGCTGTCTGTGTCTCTAACCAAAATTCAGACTGCAAGAGCTCTGCAGAACAAATCACCGCTATCGCGTCTGTGCAAGGATCACAGCGTAAGCCCTGGCTCTAGACACTGTCCTATTACAAAAGATAACAAGAAATGTCATCATGAAGGCATCAGGGTTTAGACAACCTTTGTTCTTAAAATTTCAGATGAACTAAGGAGGAAATTTATCTTGAGAGGTTTGGACTATTGATGAAATATTTTGAAAGCAGACCAAGATATGACTTAAACGTGCTTTGTAACAGGGCTCTCAAACCAAAACTACGCAGCAATAGTAGGGGGTTCTGCCCCATCCTCCCCAGGAACAGGTACACGCACATATCCATGAGAGGAACGCGTGCCTATCAGCAATGAGTGCTGACAAGTACAAGCCACGCCAGGAGTGCTTCACCCCGCTGCTCTCTCTTTTCTCCACTGTTTCCTCACTGACAGCCTCATAAGACTGTACTGGAGTAAATGTGGATGGACAGCAAGCAGGATGGTCTGTAGCAATCGCTGCATGTGCAAACACAGGACAGAGACACAAACTGCTATCCTCCAGGGCAAAGCACGGAAGACGAGAGGCTGGGGCTCAGAGCAGACCAGAGAGGAGGGTGTGTGTATGCCTTTGGGAGGGACAGGGTAGAGTACTAAAAAGAGGATGATCTTGATCTATAACAACAGTAGACCTAAAACCATTTAACAAAAATACAGACTCTTCCCTTTGGCCAAGAGAATTACCCCAATTCTAAAAAAATCCAATTACTTTTCCCTAGTATTTTTTCATGTCCACTATAACTAACAAACAGTACACACCAACTGTAACACACGAGCTCACAGAATTCCCCAGGCTCACAGCAGTCCAATGCACCGACTGGAAGCACAACGAAGGAAGCGAACTGCGGATGGTCATGGTATATAACCGGCTCTCAGACCAGAGGTGTGGCGGGGGGACACCCCTGAACCAGGGACAGGGTGAGATGCAGACTGTAATCCATTATTACAGGAATACATGGTTCTCTTTCATTTTCCACTATGGCATCAGTAAAAAGACAAGGATATTCTTTAGGAAAACTAATCAATTTGAGGGCCATACTGCCTTCTTAACAGCACTGCAGTACTCAAAAATATTTAATCTAAGCTAGCTTGAAAAAACTGTGGTCAATGAGCTTTTATTTCTCAGATACTGACTTCATTTGACCAGTTAAATAAGCGTTTGCCAACAGGATTTAGCTCCTGCTATATTCGAACCATCTTTAATCCCACGAAGGCTAAAGAAAAATGTCTCTGATTTAGCTCTGTGCACTTATGAATAACTCAAATACTACAGTTAAATTTACTACATAGTTCCCTTAGCTGTTTAGAAGACAATTGTTTTCTTTCCTTTCCCCTTAAGTTCTAGTATGTAAAATATCAGAAGAATTTAGATTAAAAAAAAAAGGGGACATGTTATTTTTAAAGTTGTTCTTGAGAAAATTTCCACATACAAAACCGTGGCACTTCTCCACTGGTTTGAGAATAATTTTCACATGTTGGCATCATCCTTGAGTGGCTGCCACAACTCTGGTATCATAAAGCGACATGTATTTTCTCTTAGCTTATCAAAACACATTTTATTTAACTGCTAAATTTGGTCCGATCCAAGTTTTTCTTTTTACTTCACAACAAACAGTAAAGTGCAGATGCCGTACTCTGATCGCATACATACATGCGTCCTACCAGAGAAACAGGGCATGGAAGCCAGATCAGTCCTCCTAAGCGTACGACTGTTCAGACCACATCGCTGCACTCATGGCTCAATAAGACTTCAAGTTCACACTAAAATGTTCACATTGTTCACTACTGTTCTAGAAGTCCTGTCTAGGTAGCACTGAAAAACAAATTGTTTGGCCCCTTCTGTTATGATGCTGGAACATTGTGTCAATATACTTTGGCATATATTAAAAAAATCCCTGTAATATACCATATACTGTGACATTTCCACTTCAGATCTATCATTTACATGTGAAGCACGAATCTCGAAAGAACCTAGTAAAGCTGTAAGAAAGACTACATTTTGTCGAAGCTCTCAGACACCCACTCCATTCAGTCACACCAGCTGGAGAGGTAAGTGTCAAGATACAGCTTTATTCTTAAAAATTAATATGGAGGTGAAACTCCACAGCCTCCTCCACAGCAATAATTTTTTAAAGTGAAATCACAATGATATGTGCTCCTGATTCTTCCATGTCAGCAGCATTTCTCAGAAACCTTTTTGCAATTCTGGACATCTTAAAATCATATTTAACTTGTTTTGCAATTTATGGAATTGTCCCTGCACTTCCCAGTCCAGCTGATAGGCGTCTTAGACATGACATCCATTGGAAGATCTTTTGCTCCTAGAGGTAGAGGAGTCCTTAGCTACCCTCTGTCTGGCGCAAGAGGCACAAATAGCCCCTGAGAGACGCTTAAGCCCCTTCTGAAAGACACTGTTGGAGAGACTGTAAATGACACAGTTGCAGAAACTGTTGCTAATGGCAAGCCAAGTGGTCAAGAAGGATGCAATGCGGTTACTATAGACATTGGAGCTCTCCAGCAGAAAATAGATTATGTAGGGCAACCAGAGGATGTAGAAGACACTGGTGATGCGGAAAAGAACCATGGCATAGCGCTTGTCCGGGCAGGGCTGTGCCTCCCCAGCCTCCCCATCCTGAGAGCTGAAGCGCACTCGCCTCTCGTTGATCTCCTTGGTGTGCTGCTGGCAGATGCGGAAGATGTTGAAGTAAGTGAAGCAGACGATGAAAGCAGCCGGGGCATAGAGCATCACCACAATGAAGAGGGTAAAATAGGGATCGGTGTTCCAGGAATTGGCACACCACTGAAACACATCCCCGTGATATCCAGGCTTTCCCCAGTGAAAGGAGGGTAAGAAAACCAGGCAGGAGTACAGCCAAATGAACAGTATGCAGATTCGAAGTCTCCATGGGGTAACCAGCGTGTTGTAGGTCAGCGGCTTCGTGATGGCAATGTATCTGTCAATACTAATGCATGCCAAAGAGGCCATGGAGACGCGCTTCAGCACTGATACCACATAACCAAAGATTTGGCAAACCAAGGACTCACTTAAAACAATAGGATAGTGCAGCAGAGACAAAGAAGGCACCAGACAGCTCACACCCACCAGGAGGTCAGCATACGCCATAGTCTGGATGAAGTAGCTGGTGGTGTGGTGG